CTGAGCAAACAGTTGTATGTGCATGTTTGCATGTCTTTTGTGTGCTCTGCTGAGAGAGAGAGAGAGAGAGAGAGAGAGAGAGAGAGAGAGAGAGAGAGGGGCGAAGGGACAACACAGGAGGGTTTGTGTGAACGTTTAGGCCTGTTCGGCGACAGGAACTTCTACGTCACAATGTAAAGCGGGTGGTGCATGTGTCATTACTTACTTTACTTATTTCTTCACCCTCTTGTTGCCGTTTAAGCGTCGAGGAGAGATGCAGGTTTCTGTGGTAGACCAGCTCCGCAGCTCTTTCAGTTGTGGTATTATGTTTTCTTTGACACCCTCAATTTATCTTTTGCGTGGCCTTCTTCTTCCTTTATACCCCGAGTGCTTGGTGTTGTAGGCTCTCGAGGCGTGCTGGTCAGGCGACATACGTAACAGGTAGCCTAACCATTTTATTCTTTGTCTTTCTGTGAAATGTAGGCAAGACTGAGTGCCAATAGCTGCTCTTACTTCTTCGTTTCTCTGCCTGTCTTGTCTTGTGATGTTAAGGGTTTTGTGGAGACCTTTTTTATTTCGCATGTTGTGGTTTTGCTTTCATGGGTTGTGGGTGGTTGGTGGGTGCTCTGGTTTGGTTTGCTCCTTCTTTCCTATCAAACATCTGTCGTCCTTATCTCCCCTCCTTTTTTTTGTTTGTTGTTACTCTCTTGTAACACGTAATCTATTCTTCGGAACTTATATGACCTTATTGTGTTGCAAGTGCCGTAAAAATCTTACTAAAACTAAAAACTTTCATGGGTTTTACCTAATGTCCAGGTTTGGCACTGGTAGCATAATGTTGATATGATTATTGAAGTGATAATCTGGGTTTTTTTGTGTCCATGGAGATGTTTAGATGAGATAGGAGGAGTGCGAGGTGGTAGATGATAGCGTTGACTTTTTAAGTTCGCATTTCCATTTCTCTGTCCATTAACCCGTTTTCCAATGAAGTACTGCAAGATGTTATCTGGCTAGCAAATAGAACCGAACCGAACCGAG